GCACTGGGACAGGTTGCCCAGAGAAGCTGTGGATGCCCCATCCCTGGGAGTGTCCAAGGCCAGGCTGGATGAGGCTTGGAGCAACCTGGTCTATGGAATTTGTCTCCGTCTGGGGCCAGAGTTCTGGTTGTGCGAGGACGTTGGAGAGTGGACAGTGTCCGTCGCTCTGGCTGCATCAGGGATGTCCCAAAAGGATGACACAAGTCTTGGCTGCTGTATCTTAGAGCGGGGTGATGCTTCTTTTGAGTTGGCCTCGTCGTTCTCACGTTAAACGCTCTAGGAGAGGGAGCGAGTCCGTTAAATCACGGAATGTAATTCAGTGAGGCTGAATTTAACTCCAGCATCGTGGTACAAGTTCTCTCTCCGACTGCTTATCTAACAATGATGGTAGATGGGAGAAGAGAGAGAAGGGTTTAATTTCCTTCAGGGGAAACTTTGCTTTCAAGAGTTTAAGGGATGCTGCCTTAAACCATATGTTGTGTGTTTCTAAATGTCCTGAGCTGTCTCTGCAAACGCTCTTGAGTGTGAGGACTATTTCTGGACCTGTTGCCAAGGCAGTGCCAAGCTTCTGCTTGAGGCTTGCACCCTCACTTCTCTTTGATTTAGCTGTTTGGAATGTCGAAATTGTTCTTGGCCCTGTTTCTGAAGGATGTGGGACTAATTCTGAAAGATAGGCAGCACCGCTCCTCGACTTCGATGGCTGGGGTGATGCAGCCCCTCGTGGGTGTAGGCTGGCTTGGTTGGGCATCCCGACCGCCCGGGCTTTGCTGGGCTCTGGGGAGGAGAGGGTCTGGCGCCGAAGGGAGGATGCTCCCGTCAGCTGTTGCATTCCTGTCGCATTCGGCTAAAATATCCCCACGTATCCCTGTTCATGGCCCTGGAGAAGGGATGAGGTGTCCGAGAGCCAGCAGGACACGAGGTCTGCTGCTTCCCCATGGACGGTGTGCACAGAGGGGATCTCGCAGCAGGCAGCTACGAGCATTTTGGAGCACTGAAGAGTTATAGTGGGGTCGCTTGGGGATCAAACGCTCGGTCATGGTCAGAATCTGCTCTGGTGCTCAATTCCTCTTAAAATGTGATGCTTTACTTCCTTTCAGGGAAGCAGAATCCTTCAAGGAACAAGGAAACGCGTACTATGCCAAGAAGGATTACAATGAAGCATACAACTATTACACGAAAGCCATAGGTGAGATGAGCTGGGGATAACACGAGTCTGTGAATAACGAGTCTGGAGATCAAAGCTGGTTATGTTGTTGTTTTGTGGCTGACAAGAGAGCTGGGGGGGACTTTTCCCAAGGGCAGGGAGTGACAGGACAAAGGGTAATGGGTTTAAACGGGAAGAGGGAGATTGAGATGGGACATCAGGAAGGAATTCTTCCTGCAGAGGGTGGGGAGCACTGGGACAGGTTGCCCAGAGAAGCTGTGGATGCCCCATCCCTGGGAGTGTCCAAGGCCAGGCTGGATGAGGCTTGGAGCAACCTGGTCTGGTGGAAGGTGTCCCTGCCCGTGGCAGGGGGTGGCACTGGGTGGGCTTTGAGGTCCCTTTAACCCAAACCATCCTGTGATTGATGTAACCACACCAGCAGTTTCTAACAGCACACTCTCCGTAGAAGCTTTTTGCTGGCGTGAATTACCTTGCCAGACTTCACCAGGTTGTAACGAGTCGGTGCTTGGGTGATAGCTGTTGTTTTCCTCCAGCCAAGATATTCTTAATGTGAAACCATCCCAGCGTTCCCTCTAGTGCCAGGCCAGCAGCGCAGCCAGACTGCACACGCAGGCTTCTGTCCTCGATGGGCGCGTTCCTGCCTGTTGTAGGGCAGCAGTAGTTTTGTACAGCTGCTTGGCTGTCACGCGTTAAACCACCCGGGTGGCGGTATAAATTGGGAGGGAATGTGAGTTTTTAATCCAACCGCGGGGTTTTGATACGCTCCGCAAGTTGCGTGGGACACTGACCGTGGGCGCTCTCGCGTCTCCTCCAGATACCTGCCCCAATAACGCCAGCTATTACGGTAACAGAGCGGCCACACTCATGATGCTGGGGAGGTTCCGAGAAGCCCTGGGAGATGCTCAGCAGTCCGTCAGGCTGGACGACACCTTTGTACGGGTACGTGGACAACTTCTTATGTCTCCATCCCCCTGCCTCCCCCCGCTGCAGCTCTCGCCATTCCCTTTTAACTCGCTTCCCAGGGCCACCTACGGGAAGGGAAGTGCCATCTCTCCCTGGGGAATGCCATGGCTGCCAGCCGCTGCTTTCAACGGGTTCTAGAACTGGATCATAAAAATACCCAGGCGCAGCAAGAGGTAAGAGGTTCTTGAAGTTCAGATATTCCCAGTAGATGGGCTGTCGGAGGGAGTGGATTAAGCTGGGCAGCCTTTGGCTTGGAATTTGCAAGGTGGGGTCAGTCGTTGGTGAACTCTTTGCGTGCTGTGAGGCATTGGGAAAAAGGAGGTGCTGCAGAGTTTCTGTATCTGATTTTCAGTAGTCAGCCAGGCTGCACAGTTACTCTTGTGTGTGATTGTTTCCGCTCAGCAGAAGAGCCTGGGCGCTGAGCGCTTTCCCCCAGCCCTCCAGGGACGGGGAACGGTGAGGGAGCAGGGACATGGGTGTCGCAGTATGTGAAGGCTGCTGTCCCTTCAGTGTCTCATTCACGGGGGTGCAGTTTCCTGGGCTGGCAGTTAGGTCACCTGATTTCAAACCGGTTTTCCTGCAGGCAGAAGCCTCCATGTCACCCGTGTTCTTGCTCCATGGTCCACGGTAGTTTTTGCTCGGATGCTGTAGGGCTTGGGCGCCTGCGTGCTGCGAGTCGGTGCTTCAGAGCAGCGACTGTCCTGCCACACTCACAGGTCGAGGGAGGGGATTCTGCCCCTCTGCTCTGCCCTTGTGAGACCCCACCTGGAGTGCTGCATCCAGCTGTGGAGCCCGCAACATCAGAAGGATATTGACCACTTGGAGCGAGGCCAGAGGAGGCCACGAAGATGCTCAGGGGGCTGGAGGCCCTCTGCTATGGGGACAGGCTGGGAGAGTTGGGGGCTTCAGCCTGGAGAAGAGAAGGCTCCGAGGAGACCTCATTGCAGCCTTCCAGTACCTGAAGGAACTGCTACAAGGACGCTGGGGGGGACTTTTTGCAAGGGCCTGTAGTGACAGGACAAGGGGTAACGGGTTTAAATTGAAAGTGGGGGGGTTTAGATTAGACATCAGGAAGAAGTTTTTCCTGGAGAGGGTGGTGAAGCACTGGGACAGGTTGCCCAAAGAAGCTGTGGATGCCCCATCCCTGGAAGTGTCCAAGGCCAGGCTGGATGAGGCTTGGAGCAACCTGGTCTAGTGCAAGGTGTCTCTGCCCATGGCAGGGGAGTTGGAACTGGGTGATCTTTAAGGTCTCTTCCAACCCAAACCATTCTGTGATTCTATGGCTGTCCTGCCACACGTGCTGTGCTCTGTCTTTCAGCTGAAGAACGCCAGTACTGTGCTCGAGTATGAAAAAATCGCCGAAGTGGATTTTGAGAAGCGGGATTTCAGGAAGGTAAGGTTAACCTGACCGTTTCCTGCAGCGTTAGGAACTGTGTGTTTGACCAGCAACAGCGTTCGATCGTGCTCTGCTCCTAAAATGCATATCCAGGGTTCTTCTTTCTCAGCTCTTTAAAATAAAAAAGGCAACAGTCTGTGCCAGGGTTCGAGTGAGGGTGACTGAAGGAGGAGCGCAGACCTGCGTGCGGTGTTCTCCCTTACTGTTTCCAAATCTTTCTTCCCAAGGGATGCGGCTGGTACTGACCTGATGCAAGGAATTGATAGCAAAAAATCTGAAAGGCACCAAACACTTCCCATGCAGCGATTTCTGTTCAGTGGATGCATGTGAAGCCCAAGTTTGGCCCCGAAAGGAGGTTGTCTGGCACATTAAACTCATTGTTTAGGTCACTGACACCTTTAGGCTCAGCTCAAGATTCTGGAGGGGTAAATCCTACCTTGGCATCACCTGGCTATGAGGAGGAAATGGGATATAGGGTCAGTCTGGATGTTGTGTTTAGGAACTGCCCTGCCTGTTCAGGGCATTTGCATCTCTCCCATCTCACCCCACTGGTGAGGCTCGTGTGAAATGTGATCTTTGTTCCTGGAGAGCTGCTCTTGCTCCTTCCTCACCCAGAAACCACTGGCTTCTCAATCTGGAGCACAGTGCTTCCCTCATCGGGCCATCGTGATGTCACGGGCCGGGAAGCAGATGAACCTTGGCGGAACAATGACCCTGTTCTCGTGCAGATGTCCCCACCAGAGACGCAGAGATGGAAAAGACCCATTAGATCACCCTGCCCATTGCAGTCAGACCAGTGTAAGGTCAGGCCTTGCACTGTACTTTTTTGTGTTTTGTCCAGCCCAAACTGTCTCAATCTATTGAATTTCTGTCCTTCCCAGTGTCTTTATAACACAGGAAACAGGGGCAGAATTGTCTCCTTGGCTTTTTCTTTTGGGGCTACAGTTTCAGAAGAATTAAAAGGATGGACCTTCTACAGGTGTCCCTTGAATCTGCTGCGCGGTGCTGTGTCACGGTCACGCAGCGGGTCCCACAGACCTGTGTCCAGAAAAGCCCTTTATGAGACAGGAGAAAAAAAATCTGCACATGAGGAATATTTTCTAACGAAATTTGTCTCCAGCAGCAGAGGAGACGGGTGTCTGCACGCTCCTCCTCCTCAGCTAATACAGCATCCCCACTGTGGCGCGGCCTTTCAACCCAGGCCTTTGGCTGTTCCCTTTGCTCACGTTGGCGTTTTCTCCCACGCCAGGTTGTGTTTTGCATGGATCGTGCTTTGGAGTTTGCTCCTGCCTGTCACCGGTTCAAGATCCTCAAGGCTGAATGTTTAGCGTTACTGGGTCGCTATCCCGAGGCACAGTCTGTAGCGAGGTGAGCGTCGCGAGCTCTAGGGCTTGAGTGGGCGTCCTGGCCGCTGCGTGTTTGCGCGAGGGAACGTAAAAAAGAAGCAATCCTGGGTGCCAGTTGTGATGAGGGGGGTGTGTGTTGGTCCCCCTTGGAGCTGGCCGTACCGGGACCCTGTGTTTACACCTGGTTAGTAACCTGCAGCCTTGCCTGAGCAGGTGCCCATCCTTCTCGCACATCTCTACCACGGACTTGATAAAATAACGGAAGATCTCAGCGGAGGAAGGTGCTTTTGGAGATGAGAAGGAAACTGGAACAGGGAAACATGTCATTTTGTGATGTCTGTTACAGTGACATCCTACGCATGGACTCCACTAACGCAGACGCCCTGTATGTCCGCGGTCTCTGCCTTTACTACGAGGACTGTATCGAGAAGGCGGTGCAGTTCTTTGTCCAAGCACTCAGAATGGCTCCCGACCACGAGAAAGCGTGTCTTGCCTGCCGTGTAAGTGGTGGGTACTGGGAGGGGGGGGCTGCAAAATCACCCGGAGTTTTCCTGTTGTTTCTAACCAAACACCTGACGTGGGGCTGCTGCTCAATCCCTTCTCCCTCCCTCAGCGCTATCATTCCCCGGATTGCCAGTGGTGCGTCCAGCCCTTCCCAAAGACAGCCAGCTGCTGCTCTAGGTAAAACTGAGCTGCTGGAAACTTTCTCAGAAGACTGGGATACTTTGAAGACCATAGAATCGTGGAATGGTTTGGGTGGGAAGGGACCTTAAAGCCCACCCAGTCCCACCCCCTGCCATGGGCAGGGACACCTTCCACTAGACCAGGTTGCTCCAAGCCTCATCCAGCCTGGCCTTGGACACTCCCAGGGATGGGGCATCACCGCCTCACTTTCACTCTTCTTTCTTCCTTGATCAGATGTAGGAGCAGTCAGATTAGGTCTGTCGGCTCTACAAGAACTGACTTTCAGATTCAGTGCTGGTGCTACGGGTTCCTTGCAGCTAAAGGCTGTTCCTTTCGTGTCGCTCCTTCCCTCATTCCTACTCCCTTGTAATTCTTGGACCGACGTTTTAAACCTATTTGCTCGTACAAGCTCTCAAAAAATGCAGTCCCATTCCTGGTTTATTTTAAAAACAGGACCTTCCTGGCCCGTTGGGTGATCTCAAACACCAGATGGCCTCTGTTGCGGTGGAGAACGCCTGTAACCGGCACCGGCTGTTCCTGAGCGCTTCAGCTGGGGCAAGGGCAGGACGCCCGCAGCTTCTTTCAGCTGCTGTAGCAAGGCTGTGACTTCGTGTCCTGTGACACTGTCTGAATCCAAGTTACAGCACTTCTCTCTGAGGACCCTCTCCCAGGAAAATAAGGCGCTCGGTACCCCTGAGCCGCTTCCCTGATGTCCTCACCCAGGCTGTGTTTTCTTTCAGAACGCCAAAGCACTTAAAGCGAAGAAAGAAGATGGGAATAAAGCCTTCAAAGAAGGAAACTACAAACTAGCGTATGAACTGTACACAGAGGCACTAGGAATAGATCCAAATAACATAAAAACAAATGCCAAACTCTACTGCAACCGGGGGACGGTTAATTCAAAGGTAAGACGTGGGTGCCCGTCGCGGCGGCGTTCCTCACCGCGTAGCTTCCACCTTGGCGAGTCGCTCGGGAAAGCTTGGGCTGCCGTGGCGCTGGGCCCTCCGGGTGCTGTGGGCGCCGTTTCGGGCTTTGGTGCTTGCGCAGCGATTGGATTCCTTCCAAACAGCCAACAAAGTTGACTCCCGAAGAATCGAAACTGGAATGCTTGGGCCGCGCAGAGCGGGAGGGAGGGGAGGAGTGGCGGTTAGCCTTACCCTCACCAGCCTAAAGGCATCCTTACTTGTTTCCTGCCTGGTAATGAGGAGATTTCTTTGCTCATTCTTCTTGCAGAGCATCTGTCTTGCTTTGATTTTTGATCTAAAAAACCCCAAATGATCCAATTTAAAAACCCGAGATGCTTTTTCCAGGGTTGCTGTTGCGTTTTGGTCAGGCGCTGTCCAGAGAAAGTCAGTGGTGGGACGGTGCTTCCAGTGTCCCCGCTGTGTTTCCCCTGGGCCTGTTGCCTCCTCGTTGTCTCTGTGCCGATGTACGGCAGCGGGGGCCCTGCAACACCTCCGCTTGGTCAAGGGGCTGTTCTCAGAACCTGGGAAATGGCACCAGCCGGAGGCAGCAGTACTGGACGTTTCATTTGTGTCTGAAAACAAACAGTGCTTTAAAAAAAAATAATCATTTTAAATGTTTTTAAGTTTATTTTCCTGTCTGGGAGTTAGTTTGGAAGCACAAGAACTTGGTTTTCAGATCATTCTGAGCAAGACCCTTGTTCCCAAGTGCGTTGCTTAGAGAAGCACCACGGAGTTGTACCACTTCCCTGCCGGGCTCCTAATTTCTCCCTGGGGAGCATAAGCTCTGTGGCTTGGGGGATTGCAAAAAATTACCCAGATGCAGGCACAGAAACCAGTGAGGTTTTCCAAGATTATTTTATTCACACCGTTCAGTTGCCTAAAATCGTAGTGCTGCTGCACTGGTTTGTGCTCTGGGGGGGATTAACCTGACTTCTGCCCGACGTTGTAGCTTAGGAAACTTGAAGAAGCAATAGACGACTGCACGAACGCGGTGAAGCTGGACGACACGTACATCAAAGCGTACTTGAGGAGAGCACAATGGTGAGCAGAGCCTTGTGGGCGTGTGGAGCAGGTTCGTGGGTGGGAACCTCCTCCCTTCGGCACTGAGTGACAGGGGTAACGTCTGCAACTTAATCACGGGATGGTTTGGGTTGGAGGGACCTTAAAGCCCCCCCAGTGCCACCCCCTGCCATGGGCAGGGACACCTTCCATTGACCAGGTTGCTCCAAGCCTCATCCAGCCTGGCCTTGGACACTCCCAGGGATGGGGCATCCACAGCTTCTCTGGGCAACCTGTCCCAGTGCTCCCCACCCTCTGCAGGAAGAATTCCTTCCTGATGTCCCATCTCCATCTCCCTCTTTCCATTTAAACCCGTTACCTCTTGTCCTGTCACTCCCTGCCCTTGGGAAAAGTCCCCCCCAGCTTTCTTGTAGCCCCCCAGGCACTGGAAGGGGCTCTGAGGTCTCCCCAGAGCTTCCCTTCTCCTCCTTCTCCGTTTTCGTAACGGAATGAAAGGTTCTGTCTGACGGTGCCCGGAATTCGTTCCCTATGCTGACCTGGAGAGGGGGAAGCTCTATGTAGTCCGTTCTGCCAGTGTGGATCTGGGACTGCCTATTTGTTGTACTTGGGCAGGATTTGTTCTAAAGCTCGAGTTAGGGTGTTTGTAGCCTCACGTAAGACGTTCTGTCCCCGAGAGCTCCTCTCGAGCTTTTTCATAAGGGCTGCTGCAAGTAAGGATCTTAGCCCAGCAGAGCTGTTCAGGTTTCCAACAAACCGGGTTTGAAATGGGATGCCCCGCTTCCCGTAGAGGAGAGGCAGCTGAGGCTGTAGGTGCTTAATACCGCAGCGTAGCACGGTGGGGCTGAGCGCGTCGTGCAAAGGCTGTTCGGCTCTGGGTAACTGGGCACCAGCCAGGGAGGTAGCCAAAGCTCTGCTCCGGCTGCGGATTTAATTGCTGCTTTCCTCAGTACTGATTGTTCCCCAGTTTGTGGCAAAGCTGCCTGGCTCAGAGACGAACCAGCACCGTCGCTGCAGCCTCCCAGTTGTGCGTGTGCTTTCATTTCCAACCTTCAGTGGTTTTCCAAAGCTCCATCTCGGGAGTTGCCAGGTTACAGTGAGTAGTTAATAGTGAGTAAGGCTGAAATGCCAGCGGACGGGCACATGTCCCTCTGTTTGGGGTGCCAAGGTTGTCACTTCTAACCAGCGCTGGGAGCGTACAGCTGCACCAGCTTCAGCTCTGCAGCAGCTTCCTGGAAGCCTCGTTGCTGGTCTCGGCTGGATGAAGTAATTATCGGATCGTTACGGTAGAACTTGCGCTGGCAGGTGAAATTGCCGTCCCCTCCGGGAGTCCAGAGTGCGGTTTCCTGTGCCAGGACTTCCGCAAAGAGCAGTGTCCGGCTCGTGGTCAGCCCAACGGTGACCCCGGCTGGGCTCCTCCGAGGATGGCCCCTCCTGCGGTCCAGGGCTCCCCTTTTCCTTAGTTCGCATCCGTCCCGGAAGCTTGGACCTGTCCCCCCAGGTATTCCCCTGCAGCACACCTCGGTCACCCCTCTTTCTTCCCGCAGTTACATGGACACAGAACAATACGAAGATGCCGTAAGAGACTACGAAAAGGTTTATCAGACAGAGAAAACGAAAGGTGAGCATTCTGGCCTTCTTTCCTCTGCGTAAGCTTCCCTGAGCTGGCGGGGTTCGCTGCTGCCTTTGTTTGCCTTTTCCCCCACGACCAGCTCGGAGTTGCAGCTTTTACCCAGCTGGCAGTGCTGGAGGAGGCCTCGGAAGCGCTCTGACACGCCCCTCGGGGTCTGCTTGCTTCCCCAGCACTGGATGCTGAGCAGATAACCTGGCTGAAGCGACTCCATCCAGGATCTCTGCTCACAGGGCTCGTTCCGACGTGCTTGTCTAGTAGCCTGGAATGAAACAGGCAGAGAAACCTTAGTCCCGTGGTTCAGTAGCACCGAGACGTTTGCAGCCAGCAAGAGTGAGGCCCTAATTAGGTACCTGACTGCAAATCCAAGGGGATTGTTCCTTGTGGCACTTGAATCCTTCCACCCAGGTCATCTCGACGCGCCGGTCTTGAGCCTCCTTTAAGGCTGTGCCTGACGCTAAAGCCGCTTCCTTTGGCCTTTCCCAGAACACAAGCAGCTCCTGAAGAACGCACAGGTGGAGCTGAAGAAGAGCAAACGGAAAGACTACTACAAAATCCTGGGGGTTGACAAAAACGCTTCCGAAGATGAGATCAAGAAGGCTTACAGGAAAAGAGCATTAATGCACCATCCAGGTACCCCAAACACCCCCTTACGCCCATGCTGTCGTCCTGATCCCCTTGCTCCCCGCAGGCCTGGCTCAGAGGTGGGAGGGAGGTGGGGAATTCCCGGAGAGGTGGCGGTTCTCAGCCCACACGTCTGACACGCGTGACGTCAGCCGGGAGCGTAGCGCTTTCCGCTGACGCCGGAAACTAAACGCTGCTTTCCCGCTTGTGTCTGCATCCCCAGACCGACACAGCGGCGCAAGCGCGGAGGTGCAGAAGGAAGAGGAGAAGAAATTTAAGGAGGTTGGTGAAGCCTTTACCATCCTGTCAGATCCCAAGAAGAAGGCTCGCTATGACAGCGGGCAGGACCTGGAAGAGGATGGGTTGAACATGGGAGGTAAGTGTCGTTAGGATGTTCTGCCCTGGCAGCCTGTAAAGACGAGACCGTTCAGAGGCTGCCTCCTCCTCTAGCCACCTGGCAGTTCTTCGCCTCCCATCTGTACAGCCCCGTGGATTGACTCACTTGGGTCTCTGGGCTGAACGTTTCGCGTGGTGCCGGTCTGGGTTACGTGGTGGGTGTTATCTGAGACGGAGCTGCTGTCGTCCGTCTTTCACGGGGGCTGCAGAATCACATCCTTGGAGGCTTGAGGGTCTCAAATGCAAATTATCCAAAATTCTTAGTTGCCCCTGTAGCTGAATTTCTCAGCCAACTCTTGCTTTTCCCTGTGGTCGGCCCCGTTGCAGCCCTTGGGCAGAGCAGGCCACTTGGAGCTTTTCGTCCGGCTTGGGCAGAGCAGGCCACTTGGAGCTTTTGGTCCGTTTGAACGCGTTTTAGGGGCCCTGGGTCAGTGACAGTTTTGGGTTGTGGAATGCGTAGCAGGCTGTTTCCCTTCAGCTCACAACTTCTCTTCTCCCCTGTAGACTTTGATGCAAATAACATCTTCAAGGCCTTCTTCGGTGGGCCGGGTGGCTTCAGTTTCGAAGGTAGGTGGGAGTGTCCTGTCGGCTTTGGAAACGTGAGTACAGGAGCCCCCCGGCAGCCGGGCTTCCTGGGGTGGATGTGCTGGCGGGGAGGAGTGTTTGACTTTCCCATGCAAAGTACCCAAGAGCTCTTGGAGAGTCCCGGATGCTCAGCGTCCCGGTTCTGGCTCTTCGGGGTTCGAAAGCAGCAGAACCCAGGGGTCCCCTTTCCAAGGAGCGTGCGTGGGCTCCGAAGTCATGCTTTGCTGCTCGATCCAAGTGGGTATCCCATTGGGATAGAGCCGCTGGTGCTCGGTCAGACGTCCTGAGCGCACGCATCACGGCCCTCGCCGTGCATCCCCCCGGGGCCCTCCGCCCGCAGACGCTTTGAGGTGACCGGTGGCAATCGGTGTCCCTTGGAACCTCACGCGGGGTCAGGCTTCTCCGGCGCCCCGGCGTAGGACGGCGTCGCACGGCGCTGAGCGAGCCCTGGCACGTGGCGGCTGTCAGTAAACCCCTCGGGGAGACGCCTCCCTTGAGGGCTCTTCCTCAGCGAGTTCAGGGCCTTGCAGACCTTCCCCCTGGTGAACCCGCTCCCTTGCCCGCGGTACACACG